TCCCTTCCAGTTCTATGAAATAGGTATATCTCCATAATTTTAAACTTCAATTTATTTATTGACAAATAAAATAAGCAGAATTTTAAAATCTTGGGAGCAGAATTTTATAAAAAATTTTGGCGCAGAATTCCTTCAGGAGGAAACTGCATGACGGGGTTGCTTATAATGGTAGGGGGCAGGGATCAGCAGCTCTGGAGCTCACTTCTGGTTATTTGCTAAAAGCTCATGGTTCAGGGTTTCAGCCAGCCCTCTGCAGGGGTCAGGAAGGGATTTTTTTTTCTCCCCAACATATTCTGGGACTTTTTGTTGTTTATCTCCTCTGAAGCATCAGAGGTTGCTACAATTGAAGAGGAGACATTGGACAGGACGGGCCAGAGCTCTGAGATGGCATACAGCATTCTCCCTCTCAGATGCTTTGCTGGCTGGTTTTTGCTCACATACTCAGGGGCTAACTCAGGGGTTCTCAAACTGGGGGTCGGGACCTCTCAGGGAGTCACAAGGTTATTCCGGGGGGGGGGTCACGAGCTGTTAGCCCTCACCCAAAACCCCGCTTTGCCTCCAGCATTCATAATGATGTTAAATATATAAATTAAAAACACTTTTTATATAGGGGGAGTTGCACTCAGAGGCTTGCTATGTGAAAGGGGTCACCAGTACAAAAGTTTGAGAACCACTGGGCTAACTGATAGCCTTACGTGGTGTTGGGAAGGAATATTCCCCCAGGTCAGATTGACAGTGAGCTTGCCGGGGCGGGGGGGGGGGGGATGTAAGGTGGTGTTCGCCTTCCTCTGTAGAACATGGGTACGGATCATTTGCCAGGATTATTTGGGTGTTTCTCACTAATTTATTTCCTGGCCAATGCTGGGGTCCCAGGTACTGATGCATGTTGGGCTCTCCTATTCTCTGCCTGTGGCTCATAATAGTCTTGTCTCCTGTGTGCTGTAATACTCTGATCTCCTTTCAGTTGTTGAGTATAGTGTGGGGGTGCTGAGTGGTCTGTGATATATAAACAAGTCAGACTAGAAGTTCTGGTGGCCCCGTCTGGAATTAAACTCTAGAATTCTCTTCTCCCACCATGAGAGAAGATGAAGTTATAGCCTGGACTGAGGGAAGAAACCAGCATGATACTATGTACCCTAAATAGTCTCGGACACATTCTGACAATCATTAAAGAATTACTTTGCACAAGTAGTATGACGTTCACGAGGTTTTCTAATCTGTTCTGAGGAAGATCTACTCACATTGTCTTTGAATCCATCACAACCCCTGTAATTTCCAACTTTTTGAGAAGGAATTATGTTTGATTTCTTCATGTGAACTCTTAGGGCTTGCCTACACTGGCACTTTACAGCACTGCAACTTTCTCGCTCGGGAGTGTGAAAAAACACCCCCCTGAGCGCAACAAGCTTCAGCGCTGTAAAACACCAATGTAGAGAGTGCACCAGCACTCTGCTGCGACTACACAAGCCACATTAAAGAGCTGCCGCAGCAGCACTTTAACATTGTCAGTGTAGACTAGCCCTTAGACCTACATTTGAGAAACAACCGAGAGTGAAGAGGATGTGATCCATTACTTACTTTTATGAAAAGCCCCAAAGAAGCCAACTGTCCAACAACTGATATACTCTGCTGTTGTGTCATCTGAGGACTGCTGCCACTGCGCCCAGACAATTATGAAGATCCTTGGAACCAAAGCCAAACTGAAAGCAACATTCAGTACTGGTATGTGTCATTCCTACCACAAATCTTAAATATTGTTTGCAAGCTGGATAGATGGAGATGTGAACATACCCATCAAGCATATCCAGAGCTGTAAATCAATCCAACAGATTCAGTCATGGGACTATAACAGCAAGAGCCAGCATTTTGAACTTTTGTTTCCAGATAAAAGTGGGGTCCCACGGGGGGGGGGGGGAGTGGGAGGGGAGGGAGTGGTGTTCTTGGCCCAAATATATTTTATGTTTTTATCAATGACCTGGAATAAAATAAAAATTACTGATAACATTAGCAGACTACACAGAATTGGGGGAGTGGTAATGAAGACAGGTCACTGGTACAGAGCTATCTGATCCACTTGGTAAGCTGGACATAACCAATATGTTTTAATACTGCTAAATGTAAATGCATGTGTCTAGGAACAAATAATGTAGGCCATACATACAAGACAAAAGACTATGCTCATAAGCAGTGACTCTGACAACAATTAGGGCTCGTGGTGAATAATCAGCTGGACATAAACTCCCAATGCGATGTTGTGGTCAAAAGGGCTAATGCAGTCTTTGGATGCATAAAGAGGGGAATCTCAAGTAAGAGTATAAAATTTACTTTGCCTTTCTATTTGACACTGGTGTGACTGCTGCTGAAATACTGTATCCAGTTCTGGTTCCCACAATTCAAGAAAGATGTTGAAAAATTGGAGCGGATTCAGAGAAGAGCCACAAAAATGATTAAAGGATTAGAAAATGTGCCTTACAGTGACAGATACAAGGAGCTCATTCTATATAGCTTAACAAATAGAAGGTTAAGGGGTGACTTGAGTATAGTCTATATGGGTAACAAATATTTGAAAATGGGTCTTTTCAATCTAGCAGGGAAGGGTATAACATGATCCAGTGGCTAGAATTCAAAGCTAGACTAATTCATACTGGAAATAAGGCATAAATTTTTAACAGTGAGGATAAGTAACTGGCAATTTGAAAATCAGGATTGAATATTTTTCTAAAAAATATGCTCTAGAAATTATTTTGGGGCAGTTCCATGGCCTGCGTTATACAGGAGGTCCCTTCTGGCCTTGGAATCTAATATATAATCCTTCTGGGAAGATTTCTGAAGTCTGATTTTAGGATAAATCTTGGGAACCACAGGCAGGAATGTAAGAAAGAGATCCCTCCAAACTTGCCTTAGAAGCCAATGAACATTCTCTCAAACAAAGATGACTAGCTCAAGGAGGTGTCTTCATTAAGTGAGTGCCAGATCCTGCAGGCAGATGTTCAATAGCCAGTACCAATGATTCACCCATATATGGTACCAATAATGGATTGTCAGCATGAGCCAATATTGGTGATTCTGAATGGTCACATATCACTAAATCTAATGGTACCATGTATGTGGGAGCTGAAGTAATCAGTACCGATGCTGGAGCTATATAACCTATCAGTAAAGTTGTACACAATACCAACAAGAAAGTAGTCAGGGAAGCAGCACCCTTGAACTGAGATGGTACCTGGTATTAAATCCTTGAGTACCAATGAAGTACATATAGAAGGTGCTACTTTACCTGCAGAGGTGGCACTGAAACCTCAGAATGATCTGAAGGCATTCTCTTTAACAGTACCAATCTCTCAGAGGCATGCTTCAAGGCTTCAGAAAACACCTATCTATGCCTTCCAAAACAGCAATTTGAATCTTGTCTTCTTTTTCTTCAAAGGATCTGGAGAAAGAAATGTGTCCCTTTTCAGCCAAAGATTTTTAACTGCCACAGAAACACTACTTGTAGAGGGAATATTGGAGACCGACTATCTGACTCACCAGGATCTGAGTCAGGTCTCACATCTGTCCAGGAGATACATCCTCAATTTAATCTCCCTGTTCTTCTGAGACTGCTAGCCAAAAGAACAGCAGATAGCACATTTATTAGGAATATGCCCCCAACCTAGATACGAAAACACTTACGAGCATCTCTGACCAAGCAACGCTGCATGAAAGGCATGTTTTAAAACCAAGAGATTTAGGAGCCCACATGGCTGCCTATCACCTAGCACCTAACTAAAAGTTGAAACTATCTTAAAATGCTAGCTAACACTAAAATACTAACAAAGAACTTATCTAAAGCTATCTGACTAAAACAAAAAATATTTACAACACCTAACTGCCCAAGTTTAAAACAGAGATAAGGGACTGCTAAAGTGTTCTGCCTCTAACCTAAGGCCATTGTTAAAAGAACTGAGTGGCAGTTGGTCAACCCTGTCTCTTTATGCCTTCAGAGATGGAACAGGAGGGGCATTCCAGGAGCATCCGTGGACCAACAGGGCGACTGCTAGCAAGAAAAAAGTTCCAGTCTCTGGCATTAAGGGATGTGCAATATCATAAATGGAAGATATCTAGAAAACCACTCAATGAAGAAATATTAGTTTAACAGTGATATTTTGTATATAATTGAGGGGTACACAGCAAAAGGAAAAGCAAGCTAAGAAGATTCCAGTGAACAAATAAAATATCATTGTAAAAATTGTACTTAAAATGCATAAAATGTAGCTGGTTTACAAATGTCTGTTTTAGACAGAAAAAACTGTCTAAAACAATACTAGATTCTTATTGCAATGAAAAAAAATATGGTACTTAATTTTTTTTCAGATCACCTGTTGCTTTATGGCAGATTCCATCAGTATTTACAGAGTTTATTTTCTGTATTGTGGTAGATGGCACCTGGAGGCCCCAATCAGGGCCCCATAATACACATATAAATGAAATAATCACAACAGTGGGGTAAAACCTACCTCTTGTACTTTACATCCATAAATCTCAAAGTGCTTTACAAGAGGTTAGTATCATTATCCCCATTTTACAGATGAGATAACTGAAGTACAGATAAGGGAAGTGACATGCCCAAAGTCACCAGTGAGATAGATTTTAAGCTTTTTGGGGCTTAGTACAAATGATTTCATGTCACAATAATATACTGCATTGTATTGGTGACACACTGTACAATTCACACACTTTAAATGATGCACATCAATTCTTAAACAGATACTTCAAATCAGTTCCCATCATCAGCTGGCAAGCTGACCCCCAATTCGCCATTCACTTGTTTTGTTGGAAATGAAAACTCTATAACCAGTCATGTGCTCACATGCCCCATTCTTCAAATGCCTTTGTTGCCGTTTTTCAGAATTATCCAAGAATATCTTATATCTTTTTCATCACTAATATTTACTGATGTGTGAGATATGGAGCCATTAATTTTTTGTGTATTTACACTTACATATTGTTGCTTTGCTCACCTTTATCAAATAAATTGCATTATCTTCTGATCCTTTGCAGCAATTAATGTTACATGCATCTTCACACAGTCCTTGGATATAAAGCAAGCAGCTTAGAAATAATTCATCAGCCAAAAAAAGCTGGTTGTACATCATAGTTCTGGAAACAAGAAAAGCATCTCAAGGTGTAAAATGTATACAAGTGCTTCTCTTTCTGTAACAGTTAAGTAGACACTATAGAAATATATTGTAACTAGAACTCCATGCTGTTTTCCCCCTTTTAATTCTTTAGTATTACTGAAGATATTACTGAACTCAAAAATGTAATTTCTCTTTATGATACATATAATTCTTTTCCTATTATTGATTAAATTAAATGTTATTTCTAAACCTAATATCCTAACATGTTAAAGGCAGTTATCCTCATAAACGACTGATCCAAAGTTCTTTAAAAATCAGTGGAAAGACTCCTGTTGACTCCAAAGGGCTCTGGATCAGGTCCTAAAGCTGTAGGAAACTTAACATTTATAATCAATAATGACTAAACAATTTGAACTTCTACAGTATCTTCCATATTACATGAGGACCTCAAACCCCAACTATGAGGGAAGAATGCCACCAAATGTAGCATCCTGATGTTCTTTGGAGGTTTCCCATCAAAGAAGTAACAAGGTCTAATTCATCATAGGCCAAGAGCCTGCAAATACTTATACCCATGAGTAACTTTATGCTGGTGAATAATCAAAACTATCATAGGCGCAGACTTCCCCTCTACCCGGGGAGTGCTCAACGCCTCCCCCTCTCCGCCCAGACCCCGCCCCCACTCCACCCCTTCCCCGAAGCCCCCGCCTCTGCTCCACCCCGCCTCTTTCTGCCCCCTCCCCTGAGCATACCCCAACCCCACACCTCCCTCTCCCTCCCGGAGCCGACCTGCCGTGCTGTTCGTAGCAGGTGGGAGGCGCTGGGATGGAGGGGGAGGAGTGATCAGCGGGGCTGCCATTGCGGGAGAGGCACTGGAAGGTGGGCGGGAGAGGGGGAGCTTGGCTGGAGGTGGGTGCTGAACACCTGCTAATTTTCGCCTAGGGTTCCTATGGACTTCAATGGGGCCTCCATTTCTTTCATCTGTTGAGTTTAGTGGAACTAACTACCAAAAAAAAGTTACTCAGATGCCTAAGTCTGTAGAGGAATAGGGGTTAGCTTGTGGGATGCGGGATGAGATGAGATTGCAGTACTAGATGCCATGGTAATACAAATAATTAATAAGTACAAGGTACTATGGTTGCAGGATACATTTTGAAAATAATCCATTTTTTTAGTTATTCAAGAGTAAATTTGATTTTTTTTTTCAGATACAATTTTCATATAGTTGGATAGTCTGACAGTGCCCCAAAATAATTATGACAAACTTTCCACACACAAAAGAAAACTGCAGTTGGGCAAACTACTGACAGTAAAATAGAAAATCACAACTGGTAAAATTTTCAGGTAGCTATTAGCATTTGAAAATAGGACCTTATAATGACAGTTCCTTCTTTACTGAATCTAATTACTGTAAAAATGTTACCGCTATCTCTGTTTTACAGAAGTTAACAGATTATAAATGACACCACTATGTTCTCGCTTCCATAATCAATCAGCAAAATTTTGGAATTTTTATTCAGTTTTTAATCATTCATAACTCCTATTTACATAAAAGAAAATGGCTGAATTTAAATACAGATTAAAAATTGAGTAATGACTTCCCAATGCCTTTCCCATTTAAGTATCTGAAAATAAGGTAAAGACAGACTATGTTAACTATAGTTAGATTGTGCTTAGTCACAGATGAATGTGCAAAGGAAGGGACAGAGCATACGTAGCCTTCTCCCACTTGCACCCTGACACACACACAGGTAGCAAAGAGGGGACTCTCCCTCGCCAAACTACTGAGCAGGGACCCAATTGCTGAATCTCCAGGTGTTTTAAGCCTCCAGAGTCTGAACAAAGCCTATGCATTGTCCCTATCTTCAGTCCTCTATGCAAGGAGGTAGGATCAGAGTCTAAAATAGGGAAAGAACATGTCAAAAATTACTTAGACAAGTTAGATGTCTTCAAATCACCAGAGCCTGATGAAATGCATTCTAGAATACTCAAGAGGCTGTCTGAGGAGATATCTGAGCTATTACCAATTATCTTTGAAAAGTCATGAAAGACAGGAAACATTCCAGAAGACTGAAAAGGGGCAAATCAGTGCCCATCTATAAAAAGGGAAATAAGGAAAACCCAGGGAATTACAGACCAGTCAGCTTAACTTCTGTACTCGGAAAGATAATGGAGCAAATAATTAAACAATCAATTTGCAAACACCTAGAAGATAAGAAGGTGATAAATAACAGTCAGCACGGATTTGTCAAGAACAAATTGTGTCAAACCAAACTGATAGCTTTCTTTGACAGGGTAACAAGCCTTGTGGATAGGAAGGAAGCGATAGATGTGGTATATCTTGACTTTAGAAAGGTTTTTGATACTGTCTCGCATGATCTTCTCATAAACAAACTAGGGAAATACAACCTAGATGGAGCTACTATAAGATGGGTGCATAACTGGTTGGAAAATCATTCCCAGAGAGTAGTTAGCAGTGGTTCACAGTCATGCTGGAAGGACATAATGAGTGGGGTCCCGCAGGGATCGGTTCTGTTCAATATCTTCATCAATAATTTAGATAATGGCATAGAGAGTACACTTATAAAGTTTGCGGACAATACCAAGCTGGGAGGGGTTGCAAGTGCTTTGGAGGATAGGATTAAATTTCAAAATGATCTGGACAAACTGGAGAAATGGTCTGAAGTAAACAGGATGAAATTCAATAAGGACAAATGCAAAGTACTCCACTTAGGAAGGAACAATCAGTTGCACACATACAAAATGGGAAATGACTGCCTAGGAAGGAGTACTGTGGAAATGGATCTGGGGGTCACAGTAGATCACAAGCTAAATAGAAGTCAACAGTATAACGCTGTTGCAAAAAAACGTGAACATCATTCTGGGAGGTATTAGCAGGAGTATTGTAAGCAAGACACCAGAAGAAATTCTTCCACTCTACTCTGCGCTGATTAGGCCTCGACTCGAGTATTGTGTCCAGTTCTGGGTGCCACATTTCAGGAAAGATGTGGACAAATTGGAGAAAGTCTAGAGAACAGTGACAAAAATGATTAAAGGTCTAGAAAACATGACCTATGAGGAAAGATTGAAAAAAAATGGGTTTGTTTAATCTGGAGAAGAGAAGACAGAGGGGACATGATAACACTTTTCAAATGCATAAACGATACAGGGAGGAGGGAGAAAAAATTTTGTTCTTAACCTCTGAGGATAGGACAAGAAGCAATGGGGCTTAAATTGCAGCAAGGGTGGTTTAGGCTGGACATGAGGAAAAACTTCCTAACTGTCAGAGTGGTTAAGCACTGGAATAAATTGTCTAGGGAGGTTGTGGTATCTCCATCATTGGGGATTTTAAAGAGCAGGTTGGACAAATACCTGTCAGGGATGGTCTAGATAATACTTAGTCTTGCCTTGACTGCAGGGGACTGGACTAGACGATCTCTCAAGGTCCCTTCCACTTCTTGGATTCTATGATGCTGAACTCCATCTTGGGATGTCAGTAGTTTTCCACAGACTGGTCTGGGAAGCAAGCTTTGAAACAAAAGGTTTCCACCATATACAAAAGCTATATAAGGCAGAGAGTAACATCATCTGACGTTCTTCACTCCCCACACAAGACGACTCCTGGAAACAACTGAGCAACAAAGACTGAACTGGGGACAGTGCTGGATCCAGGCTAAAGGGATTTGTAGCCTGTGAATGAAACACCTGGGGATTCCAAGCAGCAAAGTAAATGCAGCTTGCCCCTTAAGACTCTGCAGCCTGCTTGTATCATCTCTTAGGGTGAGAATCTGCTAATTCATATCCAATCTATTTAGTATATTAAGCTTAGTTTGCGGTTTTTGTTTATTTGCTAGGTAATCTGCTATGATCCATTTGCTATCACTTATAATAGCGTACAATCTATCTTTTGTAGTTAATAAACTTGTTTTTGCTTTATCTAAACCAGTGAGTTGGCATGAAGTGTGTGGGAATCATAGCTCGAGGCAAAGACTGCTGCATATTCCTCTCCACAAGAGAGGGAGTGAATTTTATGAGCTTACGCTATACAGTTCCCTGTACAGCACAAGACGGTATAATTTTGGGTTTATACTCCAGTGGTGGTTGAGAGTCTGGAAAGTTGGGAAATTGGCTGCTGTCTGCTGCATGTATTTGAGTGGCTTGGGTGAAGCTGCTCTCTCAGGTAGTTCAGTTTGGGTGTGTGGCGCCACCTGCTATCATGCGGCGTGATAACAGGGCTTAGGTTAGGCTTGCTGTGTTCCCAAGCAGTATGAGTACGGCCAACCCAACTGAGTGCTTAGAGGGGCCCAGCGGTTCCCAATCTCCCAGACTGCACCCCAGGGGGGACAACCCATCACAATACCCTCTCCTAAAACTCTGGCCACATGAATTTTCTGGTTCCACAGTTTGCCTCTTCAAGGAACATGTGAATAGTGTACCACAAACTTTGCACAGGATTCTGAAACCTTCACTGCTTTTTAATTAATCACACCAGAAACCCACAGATCTATACAAAAATAAAAAACCCTAAATGCATTTACTTGCCTTGGTTTCCTCACCATTCCAAACTATTCTTTGGGCTGGGATCAGAATGATATGGGACCGTCCAGGGTCCTTCTGCTGTAGCACATGTCTTGTGTTCTGAAACATGAAACCTTCTCTGTCCATCTTGCCTTCTCTGATATTGGCTGGTCCATCCCCCTTTCCCTCTCCTGCCCAAAACTTCGTCTCTGGCTTTGTCTTTCCCTTTCAGTCTTTTTTGCTTTGTCACCTCTGTCTGTTTGTTTTGTTTGGGAATTTTTCACTCTCCTAACATCAGCCCCCTATTGAGGGAAGTTGGAGAGAACCCCTAGGATGCAGTTACTTTCTTGTTGTTGCCAGGTAAGACCTATTCAGACCATAAGTCCTTAACAATCTGCTATTGTGCCCGGTCTGAGGGATACACATAAAGGCTTGTTAGCAATGGTGGATACTCAGACAAAGAAGAAATTGCTGTATCCTGGATTGCTTAACAACTTCCCAATTTCAACCAGAATTCTTCCTAAGCTGTACAGCTGTACAGGCATGTTGCGGGGCCTCATAAAGCAGAGATCATTATGCCCACTCCTCTATGCAGGCATTGGCCTGAACTCACAATAGAGAAAGAAATGCATTCATTGTGCAGAGAACCAGTGGCAGATTCTCTGCGTCACTCATAGGCCTGTGCACCTCTACATGCCATAGATTGGGTCTGTGTACTAATGAGGAAGACCATAATGGGAATGGGATAGAGAAAGTGGCCATGGGATCCTTTTTCTTTTGGTCCCAGCATAGAGACTGAATTCCTCTCAGTCCCTCCATGTGCCGTCTGCATAGAACCTGATCATTCTTACTTTATAAGGGTGGAACAGACCTCAATCATACTCTATTATTATTTGTATTACCATAGTAATGTCCTTAGAATCTATGAATAGCATGTCGGGTCCCTAGTCATGGACCATGACCTCAACATACAACAAAAAGACGGTCCTCTATGATATTATGCTTTACAGTAATATAGATACTAGGGAGGGAGAGGAATTATTCCAGCTCAGTACTAATGTGGACACGAGAACGAATGGATATAAACTGGCCGTGGGGAAGTTTAGGCTTGAAATTAGATGAAGGTTTCTGACCGTCAGAGGGGTGAAATATTGGAACAGCCTTCCGAGGAAAACGGTGGGGGCAACGGACCTGTCTGGTTTTAAGATTAAGCTAGATAAGTTTATGGAGGGAATGGTTTAATGGGATAACGTGAGTTTCGTCAAAGGAACAGCGTGCCATCGCTGGTAAATAGTATAATGGCCAATGAGAGTCTGGCTGGAGAATCTTGCCTACATGCTCGGGGTTCTACTGATCGCCATATTTGGGGTCGGGAAGGAATTTTCCTCCAGGGTAGATTGGCAAAGACCCTGGAGGTTTTTCGCCTTCCTCCGCAGCATGGGGCAGGGATCGCTAGCTGGAGGATTCTCTGCTAATTGAAATCTCTAAACCACAGGATTTGGGGACTTCAACAGCAGAGTCAAGGGTAAGGGTTGGGACGGCTTTGTGGCCTGCATCATGCGGGAGGTCAGACTAGATGATCATAATGGTGCCTTCTGACCTTAAAGTCTATGAGGCTATGAGATGTACCACTGAACTTTCATTGCAATAATTTTTGTCATGCAGGTATCAATACAATAAAGATGCCCTAGCGATTTTTTTGTAATTGTTTACTGCTGATTGACATAACACTGAAAGATTAATTTGCACTTTATTCAACAGATACATTTCAGAACATTCAGATTCCTTTTAATTTTTTTCACAATATTTTGTATTCCAACTTACTTGCTCTTGGTTGTTTTAGCTCTTCGAACATTGATTTTCCAGGTGAAAAAATATTTCTTCATTCTAGAAACAAACAAATGGTAAATTCCTTACCTAATAATTTCCTTACTGATAGCAGCATCTCCCACAATTATGATATGTAGAGGGTATTCCCCTCCTGTGTGCAGTTTCTGGAAGCAGTTCAAAGCTTTAGCAGAGCCTGGTGTATTCAGGCCCCTAATCTCTGGCCTGCTGCCAGATGATTAATCCCAAAACTGTATAAAAAATTGTAGAATATGGTTAGGGTAAACACCACCTAATAAACTACGTACAGTAGGCCGTGGCCTTCAAACATGAATATTGAAATTAAATACTGTCCTTTGGCTAGGAAGCCAACCAGGGAGGGTAAAATTGTGGGAGAATGTTGCTAGCAGAAAGGAAATTATCAGGTAAGAAATTTACCATTCTTCATCTCAGCATTTCCCACAGATCTGATATATATGGGAAGTAGCAAGCAGTGAACCGAAGTAGGGAGGGATTAAAAAAACAAACAAACAAACAAAAAAAACCACAACAGAATGAGATTGGGAAACTCCGCTCTCCCGAACTTACTCACTCAAAATAGTAATGCTATTATTAGACTCACACCTGCACAATCCTGCAACCTGCACAGTAGTCTAATAAAGGTGTTAATATAGAACCATGTTGCTGTCCTGCAGATCTCTGCAGTGAAAACACAAGCTCTTTCCACCCACAAAGTCGCAATAGGTCCTTTAGACTAGAGCGTGCCTGGACGATGTCTGGAAAAGAGTACCTGTTGCCTTATATACCTGAACGATCCATAGCTTGATCCACCTAGCTAGCAATAGCTTGGATACTTGGGACTTCACATCAAATACAAATAAGAAGCCCAATCTTCTTGTTGATTCAGTAGGCTTGATATAGCTCTTTAGTGCTCTAACATCCAAAGTGTGCTAACAGCTTTTCTATTGGGCACTGTGGCTTTGGACAGAATGAAAGGATGACAGTCTTCTGTGAAACATGGAAAGATGAATTCACCTTAGGCAAGAGTGATTCTGGGAATCTTAGCACCAACTTGTCATTATGATACACACTCGGGATCCTGCATGGATAAAGCTTTCAGTTCAGAAACTCATCTAGCAGACATGATGGCGACCAGAAAACAGGTTATAATGGATAGGTAAAATGGAGATATTGATGTCAATGGCTCAAAATGGTGTGCGATTGGTATCTCCCAACTGGGAAAAACTGGTCTAACTGCAGGTTTAGCCAGTCTGACTACTCTGAGAAATATGGATACCTAAGGGGTCTCGGTCAAGGAACCAAACAATCACGCAAATAGGATATTATTTATAGCTCATACCTGCCAGACTATGGACCTAGGCTGAAATCCCTTGTCTATTCTTTCCTAAAGAAAGTCAATGATGTAATATGTAGAATGTATACTTTAGATGTTGGAACATGTGGAAAGATGCCTGCTTGTCTGGCAAGGAAAGAGAACAGCCAGGTAAAATGCTGAACCAGCAATCTGATCATGTAAACAACTAGGTCAACAACATAAGCAACTGAGTTAGCACTAAGATTAGTTTGCTAAGGCAGAAAAAATGTTTATACAATATATAAATGAATACCTTTTTAACAATGTATTTAAGGGGAGCTCATGAATGAAGGAGCACACTTGCATTTAAACCTATGCTGTGCCCTGTTTTGGTGGACTGATCACTCACTGAAGCACCAAATAAATGACATATTACTTCAGCTCAAGAGTCTGCCTGTGAACCTATGCATTCTGGGTAGAAGGAAAGAGCCGATCAACACAGGATACCTGGGATACCAGGATCACTGCAATTTTTGCTGTGTTCTTGACACCGTGAGTTAAACCTAATACAACGGAAGATTGGGCTTTTAGTGTTGAGGCTCATCTAGACAGTAGTGTTCCAATCACTTTGTAGGATAATCCTAGCATAGCTAAGCTTCCTTCTCAATAGCCAGGATGACAGCAGGTGCCTGTCTGGGTCTGTATGGAAGAATGGGCCTTGGTCAGTGATGTCTAGTCTCACCGGTAGCTACACTGGTGGCTCCAATTTCAATTCAATCAGGTTGAAGAATTATGATCTCCTTAGCTAACATTGCCTTTGCCTCATCTTATCTACTGGATCACCTTTCCTAGAAATGGAAAGAGCAGAAAAGCATATAGCAGGCCTTGTAGCCATCTGTGCAAAAGAGCATCCGTCACCAGAGATTTGGCATCTGCATCCCTGTGAGATACTTTGGCCACTTTGTGTTCTTATGATTGGCTAATAGATTGACTGCCAGAAGTTTGAGCTCTTGAAAAATCATAGCGAAGACTTACTAATTCAAGCACCATCCTGAGTTGTTGACTGTGCATCTCCTGAGCCAGTCTGCCATTTGATTAATTTCACCTCGGGTTCCAGGTACCTTGCATTTTTCTGTGCCCCAGATTCATTCCCCATCCCTTCAGGCTAGCATCAGTTGTGAGTACCTGTGCATCTTTAAGACAAAGGGAAGATCTTCGCAATGTTCTGTGAGACTGTCCACCATTTTAGTGAAATTAGCACCCCGGTTCAGAACTTTGCATGCATTCTGCTGAAACGTTCCATATTTTCAGGAGAAAGGCCTGGAGGCACCTGACATGGCCATTGGGGTGACTCCAATACATGAAACCAGGCAGCCCATTAGTTGTAGACATTGAGCTATGGTCAGATTTGAACATTTTAGCAACTGGATATCAGGTTCTGTATCTTGTGTAATCTGTCTGACAATGGACAGACCTTTGCCACAGAAGTCTATTTCTATTCCCAGGTGAAGGGAGCCAAGCAGCTACTCTTGGTGTTTACAAATCCATATGCTTGAAGCAAATCCAGAGACTGGACTGTGGCATTGTGTTCTGTTGCTTGGGTTGGAGTTCTGATGAAGATGTCATCTAGGAAAGGATACAAGTGAGTGCCCTGGGACCTGAGTCTGGCTATTATTGTCACAAGCATCTTCTTAAAGACCCTGGGAGCAGACAAAAAAATCAAAAGGAAACATTTGGTACTGGTAATGGGCAATCTGTAGTAGCATGGTCGAATGGGAATGTGGATATATGCATCTGCTAGATCCACAGATCCATGTGTAAAGCTATTTGAGACCCAGGATAGCTCTGACCTGCTGCCCCACACCCTAGCCCATGCTTCTGGACAATTAAGAAAATGGAGTGTAGATCTAAGAATCTTTCTTCTGAGGGAACCCTTTCTATTGCTCCTATGTCCAGGAGATATGAGAATTCGTTAACACCAGTTTGCATTTGATGGTGTCATTCAAGAAGGGGGACTGGATGAAGAGGTGGGTGAGGCCCTCCATTTGAGAGAGTATCCACAACTCACTACCTTTCTTGTCCTCTTGTCTCTGGTCGATAGAGACCATTCTTCTGATAAGTGGGAAATTCTGCCTCCTCCACTCAGGTCTGGGTGGAGGCACATTCATTTGTTTTCATAATGGGCTTTTAGAGGTGATGGATCCACCTCTAGATTTTCCACCTGATTCCCAGTTCCAGGGTTTTCCCTGATAAACCTGTCTTATTTCCTCTGATACCTTTGCAAAGAGGATAGACAATAGGAAAGATTTTGTCTGTTGCTGGGTTTGTGGTCTCTCCTTAGAGTACGGAGTGTGGCAGAGAGGGTGTGTTTCAGTTTGGCAGCGCTTTCTGTCATCATTTTATCTAGTTTTTCACCCAAAAGAGGAGAGAGCCTGTGAATTTAGAGGATCACAGAATTTGTTTGGAGTGAGCATCCAGTTCCTGGGGCAAAGCTGGATGAGATGTGTGCTAGAGATGTCTGCCGATCTGGGGACGCCATGGACTCAGCTGAAAATCTCATTGCATCCATTGAGGCATCTGCTATAAAGGCTGTTGCCAGGAAAATTTTCTGAAGTGTAGACCAAAAGCCTCCATCCTTCCCAGTCTTACGGATATCCAGACAGGATACAGACTCTTGTGAAGAATGTAGCCACCAACGATGATCTGAGGGTGTCTAACAAAGCCTCAAAGACCCTTCTAAAGGTAGCTTTCACCTTTCTATCAGGTGGGATCTTTAGGAAAGAAATCCACTTCAGATGAGATTACTAGGTCTTTTGCCACTGCAACATCAACTTTTGGTATATCCGTAATGGCATTTTTTGGCTCTTGCAACTTGTAATATCCAAGTGAATTCCTGCTTATGCTTTTTCCCCTATTAGCAGTTTCCCACTTCTCTCTGATCACATCCTTGAAGGATGGTTGCAGCAGGATTGCTGTCTTAGGCGAGAATTTAGAAAGCAATCCTCTAATGCATTCTCAGGCTGGATCTGGATTGTGGATGCAACCTTTTTGTACATAGGTTTAAACATTTTTTGGGGAGGGGGAGAGGGGAGTTTGTTCCATTTTTTTCCATGTGCTGCGCAGTGCCTGAATCTGAGAGCTCCCCTTCCTCACTTGAGGAGGAGGTGTGTCTGTGTAAGATGACAAAAAATCTCTTTGGGGTTTTTTTGTCTTATTTTCCTTCTTGCTCTTGGATTTTTTTTTGCCCTTTTGGCTGGGTTTCCAGGTATTTCTGTCTGGCTAAAGCCAGGACATGGTCTTTATTCAGCACCTTGAGCCCTCTGGGTATGTCTCCCTCAGTGTCCTCCCCCTTGTAGTCCCATTCCCCCTGCCTGGAACATGGGGTATCATCACTGAAATTTCCCTGATTCAAGTTGGTGAGAAGGGAAGTAGGGTATGAACCCTGCTTCTCTCCCCAGAGAATTTAGACCTACATTAGGGCTAGGGATCAAGGCCGGGATTTTTAATCTGCAGTCCATTCTGTTCCAGGATATACCCTCCTGGACTGAGACTCTCTCCTTGAAATCTCTCCCCACTCTGCTCTGGGGCTCCAGATGAGGCTTTTCTGGGTTGGAGTTGCAGCTTTTTTGGGGGGGGGGGAAGACAATGGATCTGAATGAATTGTAGAAAAGCTTTGCAAGTCTCTCAGACTGCCCATAGTTCCAGAAGACTGATGTGTATTGTAGTCTCTTGGGGCACCCAAATG